AAGGATGCAGTAAAAGTAACCCACATAATATACAGGAGCTTAATGATGCAGTAATTCGGAATGTGTTACTAAGCTGTTATTAACTCTAGAATTAACAACATCCAGTAGTGGGACCCTATCATATTCTGCAAGGATTAATTTTACATTAATAACATTATACTAAAACCTTGTTTTTTGTATATTTATGCTTTAGCGGTGTACTTCTTCAAGGGTTATTTTAGCTAACAAAACAATTATCTCTCTCTAAGTTTCCATGTATTATCAATTTAAATGATTTATTATCTACTTAAGTGTTATATATAATAGTGGTTCCCAGTTTTTTCTCCCAACCGGAGAACCAGCTTGTCATGAAAACAAAATTTCTAAGACCACTTTTTACAATATTAATAGTTTAAAATACTTTTAAATAACATTTTATAATAAAATATTTCAATAGCAATATTTGAAAACACATTGTTTTGTGGGTTTTTTTCAACTGTTTTGCCTATCAACCGAGATATCAACCATAAATGGGTGGTCCAGAACCAGCAATATATAAACCATTTTCTTTTACCTAAAGTAAAAGTCAACATATACAGAAACAACCAACCCAAAAATGCCTTACAAACAGATTCTATACACCTATAATTTAAAAAAACAAAATGAGCCAATGATAAAATATGTTAATATGATTGTTAATTAACAAACAGATTAGAATTATAACGCACCTCATCTTCAGTTTCGAGGACTCTCTGCTGTTGAAGTTCTTCCATCTTCATACGTTCTTGAAGTTCCTCGGCAACCCTTGCATCTTGAGCCTCTCTGTGTTAAGATTTATATAAATTAATTAATCAATAACTATTGTTTAGAAAGTAGAAACCTTTATTAAAGTAATTATTAGCAAAGAAAAAAATTATCGTAAAAATTACTCGAGAACAACATATCTGACTGATCAAAGTTTTTTTGAAGCAAAGTAGAACAATATTGTGAGAATTTCTTTGAATTTAGGTAACTGAATAATTATCAATGTAAAAAAAAAAAAGGGC